TTATCACAGTCTATTATCACAGTCTATTATCACATACTTATGCTCTAAAGTATACAATAGTACAAAGTCTAGAGTAGTAACCTAGATTTTGCTAATAACTACCCATTCCTAGACCCTACCTAGCTACCCTACCTATACCTATACCTAGTCACGTGCTACCCTACCTATACCTATACCCAGTCACGTGCTACCCTACCCAAACCGTTTGGGTAGGGTACCTCATATACCCTACCTAGTTCCTACCCACAAATCACGTGACTATACCTATACCCTACCCTACCCTACCCATCCGCCAGCCTAGCTCTGCCCTGCCTTCTCCTTTATAGATTAATTAAACACTTGTTTAAGCTAGGATAGTCCTATATTGTTGTTTGTCCAGCCAGAAGGTGAGGAGGATATATACACTTGATTCTCTGGCCTTAGAGCCTGTAGCCAGGTGTCTTGTATTAAGCCTGAGGCTGATTAATATATTAACGCAGGCGCAAGGGCTGATCCATCAGCACATATACAGGCCAGCAGCGTTATCCACTCCTGATTGCCATCCTGGATGTGAGCCTTAATCTTCCCCTCCTCATATAGCCTCCTGCTGAACACCCGCTTTGAGCGGGTAAGTATTCCTAGCATACAGCCCTTCTCATCCATATTATATATATTATAAGGCTCAATATTGTATTGGCTGAGCTTGCTGCGCAGAAGCTTAAAGTAGAGGCTATACTTTAATAGAGAGTCAGCCTGGTGGCGCGAGCGATTAATGCCAGTGGTCTAGCGTGAGATAAGATGGACGTCGTGGCGCTAGATATATCAATCAACCTAGCCTTTTCTAAGCTCTTTTTTCGCGATCTCCGAAGCAAAGCGTTGTATCATAGGCCGTGAGGGAGGTAGGCCTTGCCTTGTAAGGCGCTCAATATAGCGTAAGAGCTCCTGCTCTTGCTGGGGGTGGAGCGCTTGCTGGTTTTCTGCCATGGTACTGCGTGAGCCTGCAATGCCTTGATGCCTCCGCGCGAGCGTTGTACGGTTACAGTGATACTCTGCTGCAACTTTACGATAGCTGAACTGTTCTCCTGGTTCTAGCGATTCGATCGCTGCAATCGCTGCCTCAATTGAGCCCATATTGATAGATTTATCGCGTGTTGAAGTCTGGTTGTTGTTTTGGTGGGGTGGCTCGAACGGCCGGGCGGCTCGGACGGCCGGGCAGCAGGGTAGAAGTGAGGATTCCACAACAAACAGGCGAAAATATATTGCATCTCTGCATCTGCCAAGCTGGATGAGATTTAGCACATTCATTTGTAGCTACGAAAGGAAAAGCAGACAGAGTCAAATTATGCAGGCACGTGGACCATACGAAAAAGGGTGAAGGCAATCGCGACGGTCCTGATCAAACTCAGCAGAGCGCTGGCAATCTGGTAGCTAGCGCTCAGGATGCTTTTCATTGGTGTATTTCTAGTATGCTTCGCTGCGATACAAGACGTGATTTGGGATGCTGAGAATTGTCTGTATGAGACGGGGTTATTGGAGAGATCTCAAGCTAGTTGAAAAGAAGAAGGGTACTTTATGTTTCTGGGAATAGTTAGCTATACTCACCGAGAATCGTGTTGCCGCCAGCAGGAGCAGTGCGCCATATTGTATTCGGGCCCGGAGGGTAGTACCTCTGAAGCGCACAATTGCTCGTAAAAGGACAATTGCTAACCATAACCACTGCCTGATACTGATGACGATACAGGGATGATTAGTATACTAGTGTTGACGGTGTCATACATGTTCACACTCAATGACATTCGGCCCACACGCGTGCCTTATCTCTTCGCAGGTCTTTCTATCAAATAGTCGTTTATTATCATTTGGGGTTCTTGGTCTATTGTGCTCTTGTCTTTGTGGTTGATGTTTAAGCTTGCACAAGAACAATATGAAAATGAGGTCCACCTGAGCGTTGCACCGATGGATACTCTTCTCTAGCGCCAATGTACCTCTCTAGATCAAGTTAACATACTAACTATTTAAAGCTGACCTGCTAACGATTCATGCTGCTGTATACAGCAGGTCCAAGAACGTTCGATAAAGCACAGAGGGCCTCAAATTCTCTCCTGTCACAAGGAACCGTTTTCAGTATTCAGTGTTGTATCCCTTATGTACAGTAAAAAAAGGCGTCCATGTCACGGCAGGCGCCATTCAACCATGGGGTGTGATTATGAATGGTACCTTGAACACCAACTCCTCGCCGTCCTCTAAAGTACTTCACACTGGCTTGACAATGACCATGATTGCCGAGCAATTCATACTGGCACAGCTAGATCGTCGCGCAGCAAGCTAAGCTGAGTTCCCAGTAGCTTAAGGCACCACAGCTTAAGGTACTACAGTTGCGGGTCACACGGCCTGTGAAAGACCCGTTTTCACCTTGTTAGCCATGCCAACCGGGCGCACTGAAGTCAACACGGCGTTGGTCGCTTGATAACGACGCGTAGTCTTGAAGCTATATACTGCTTTCCTGATCCTCCGGGAACGGCGAAGCCATGCAGTAATGTAACCCTAAACCCAGACGCTCTTTTGATCTCTATTCGGCTCTGTCGACATGCGGACAATGGCGGTGTATTAGAATACGGGAAATGTTTTGCTATCAAGCGCGGTGCAGTGTGTGTGTACGAGACGGCAGGATGGCTCGAATGAGATCTAAGATGACTATTTTGCATATAATGATCAAGGGAACGGTAAGTAGCGGAGCGATTGTTCACAGATTGTGCGGATGCCGACCCGACCTGGGGTCGGCCCGCATACGCTTACTGCATTCCGTCTGTTCCACGCATCGACGCAAGCTCAACATGTGGCCGCTGCAGCCATCCTGCAGCGACAGATCTTTTCTACATTACAAACTCTGGGGGAATCTCTACCCACAAGCTGCTAAGAGACATTGGTCTTCTCCGTTGTTCTACAACTTCAGCCTAAAGTTCAACTTCAACTTGTTACAAGTCATCTCACATTTCCGTCCTATCTTGTTGCAAAACAATCAAAATTGCTCTTGTTCAGGTAGGCTGACAGGCTTCGGTCTCACCGCAAGACCACACAGTATGTTTCAACGAGAGGCTACATCGCGCAAAACTTAAACATCGCCTAGCATGCGTTACAAAGTCGAACACAACCCTACTCTTAATATATCCAACTCGTAATTGGCATGAGCTAGTATGTTACTGTTCCCATCCATTTGATCGACGGCAATTACATCTAATACGATATGTACGAAGCTCACTATCTTTAGAAACACCCACCTCTACTCAAGCAATCTTTTCTTTACTATGTAACCTAAGCAACAAAGACACCCTTAGGCTTATTACAGTATTCTTTAGATTAAGAGGTTCTCCTTACATTTCTTTCTGTAATTGCTTATCTACATCCCAAGTGCATGTCAGTACGAGGATGTACTTCTGCTTCCCTGGAGTACTATGCAAACGCCGCCGTTCACAAGACAGAAGATAAGTCCGGCAAACCAAATAGGGCCGATGTCGGCCAGCAATCTGAGAGACATCTTTGACGCTAGTAGACCGACAGGAAAGGCGAACTGAATAGGGCCGACTTCGGCCAGCAATCTGAGAGATATGCTTCACACTAGCAGATCAACAGAGAAAGCGGACCGAATAGGGACAATTTGGGCCAGCGATCCAAGAGGGAGTCGCAGGTCCTCGCAGGATGTAGGAATAGGGGGAGCACCTATAAGTAAGCACAAGTAAGCCCCATCTGCAAAACGTACTCATCATCAATCTTCACGCGACAAATAACCTACCTCATCAACAAAATGAAGCTGATTCTTCTAAGTCTTCTGCCTTCGGCGTCCGCCTATCTGTGGTTCACCAACGACGGATGGTCCAAGCCTGCCGATTTTAATAGCAAGGCATGCGAGAATAACCCGAACGTGTGGTACTTTTGCGTAAGTTACGCCAAAAGCACAAATGTGTCAGGAGTAAGACGCTAACAATCCTGCAGGGTTTTTCAGCTGGGACGAAAGGTCAAAACACGTTTCCTAATGCCTTCCCTCGCGGACGCAATGATTGTACCCTAGCAGACACTCTAGGCAGAGGATGTGACTGGAAAGGAGCACGTGGGATGGTAAGTTTGTTAAACCATACTTCACTAGGATTACAAACTAATGCTTACACAGGTTCTTTGCGTAAGTTGACTCTACTATACACTAGTCAATCAAGTTTGTTCTGCTGACTATTTAATAGTGTACCTAGCGGACACATTAGGTAAAGAATGTGACTAGGAGGAAGCAATTGGGAGTGTAAGTTAACGTCGACTAATACTTTACTACGATTACAACCTGATAATACTTGCACACGTTCTTTGCGTAAGTTTACTCTGCTACACACTAAACAGTTGTTTGTTTTGCTAACTATTTGATAGTTTTAATGTAAACCAAGCAGAGATAATTTGCAAGTAGTAAAAGAAAAACTACTTAGTCCCTAAACGTTCTAATAGAAGACTTTGGAGAAAATACTGCCTGCGCGTAGCATAGTTAGGCCTCTTACCGCAATTATGATTAGTAGCTTGACAATATTTCATACTGTAGATCGACTTCGTACTACAAAACACTTACCGTGCCCGTGCACGGAACGCGCGGATTTACAGAATACGTGTAATGGGCCCTACTAGTCTAAGCAAATGGAAGGCTGTTGAGCGACCCACAATACATGAATGGATATAATTATATAACGTACCTCACAAGCGAGCTGATCACCCAAGCGAGCTGATCACTTTTGCCAAGACCACACCAACACTGCACCTACTTTGCAACATTACAGCACACAACAACAATATATCACACTACACAGTATATTAAACTAATCTACAGTACTCTACGCATCTTTACTGCATGTTCGTGCGTTGTGCACTGTCTCGCCACATGTGCCACAGCGTCTTAAAGACTGAGTGCTCCTATTAGCTTCCGTGGTGTACGTTATCTATAGTATCAAATTTACATGTACGTGAGTTATGACCAGGCTCCCTACACTTCTTACAGCGCGCAAGGGCCTGGCGGCTGAGGCCTGGTTGATCTCCTCCTTGACGCTGCTCACGAGCAATCTGCTGGTCAGCCTCACATTGAGCGAGTAGATCCTCTCCAGCTCAAGACTGTCTGTACGCTTAACAAAGTTGCGCGGCCAGTGGACGCCAACCTGACCTGCGCCGCGCGCAGCGAGCAGCTTATCAGCCATATCACGTACAGCTGCGTACGTAGGCGCAAATCCACGTCGATATAGATCAAGGATATAGCTGACTATCACCTCCTCTTCAAGTACAGTGAGCTTCTTTGAGTTGGGCTGGCAATCGCGTCTGGCAGGCGCGCCAGCGCGTCGGCGTCGGAGGGTAGTTCTGGGGACTTCGAACGTCTAGGCAGCAGATCTGACAGTTGATATCTGATCCTGCTTAATAGCTGAGATTGCAAGGTGTATATCAGCCTCACGGGAGGCCTTGTTGGCTTGGTTGGGGGGAGCCATAGCTAATTGAAGTTCACACGTTACAGAAAGTTGGTGGGGTGGGCCATTCGCTTGTGCAGGCCACTCGCTTGTAAAACACATTATGGCTGAATTCGATCTTGCATGTATCTCGCTACTCCTATTGGACAACGAATCCTTGCAACAGATTGATGCCGCCAAAATCGCGAACGGTCCACACATCAGCGGTTTGGAGTGACAACTCGACCGAAACCCTGTGTCGGATTCCTGTAGCCTAGCAATTGAACTTCACGATCTAGCAAGTGGAAAAGCTAGTCTGGCCCTTGCAGTTAGCAGTGGTGGAAACCTTACTGCTGGATCCGCTGCCTTTTTCGACGCCCTTGTATTCCTGGCAAACCTTCTTCACACCAGATCCGCACGAGCTCTGGATGTTAGCGGTGTCTCCGTAGTTGGAATTGATGCCAACAAGCTCAGAGACACCTCTTGCCTTTACGCCCGAAATAACAACGTTCCTCGGGCCTCCGTTGTTGGTGCAGTCACCGCAGCCGCGGTACAGCTTACCGGCGTTGACGACGGTGAAGTCCTTGATGGTAACTGTGCCGCGGCCATTGTGCTGAACGACCTTGTCGACTGCCTCTTGGGCACCACCGCCCTCGATCAATACATTTCCGGTCCCGAGAGCGGAGATTGCGTCTGTTACAAGTCAGTGAATGGCGCGTACCCTCAAACATTGTCCACTTACCCTCGCAGACGTCGCGGAACCAGACGTTCTTAAGTGTGCAAGCTGCCTTGCAGTGGATACCCTCGAGCTGATTCGCGCCGATGATTGCGTTGCTCAAAGTAGCGCCGTTCTCAAGGATGAAGACCGCATTCTCGCTGCCAGTGTCGGCATCAGTGTCGCAGGCCCTTCCGCGGTCGTATTCCTTGTTGCCCATGTCCTTGGATCCAGATATGACACTGGGAGCTGCAAGTGAGACGATGGAACCGACTCGAGTAGGGATGTTCAGTGTTTGGCCAGCGGTAAGGCCGACCGCAGCGCTGATGAGAGCTAGAACGAAACGCATCTGGAGATGAGAAATAGAGTGTCTGGAAGACGGCTGAGCAGAGAAGGCTGATGTGAGCGTGCTGTGAGATTGGCCTACGCCAACCATGCAACTACTTATACTGTTTAAAGCATGGCCACGTTCATCGTTACTATCGCACGAAGCTGCTTGACCGGTATTGTTCAAACCCTTCAATCTATCTCAAGCCACATTCACGACGTCGTTGGTGGAATAAAGTCCCTGGCCATATGGTCCTGTAGATCGTTTATCGCCCAGCACCGGACAGCAATCCTGTGCATATGTACATCTTGACCTCTCTTGGCTTTGTAATATGGCTGTGGGGTACAGGGTGTTTATTGGCGGAGAACTGTATCTGGGGTAAATCTCCGTCTTGGCGAACTCAATGCGCGGGCAGTACCAAGGCTCCAGTTTGGAGAATCATTTACATCAAACCTGGCAAGTCCATCACCGCGGCCTTAGCGATAATTCATACTGGGGCAAAATGTATTCATGCGATTCGTTCCATGGGGTCGCACGTAGAGCTCAGCTGAGCACATTTGGAAACGTAGACTCCCAACAGACCATAGTTTACGGTAGCTTCTGAGGTCACGAGATGGCCTCGTCGTCTCTATCGGTGCTAAGGTTGATGATGTTTGAGAGCCAAATAGCCTTTATGCCCGCTCGGCAGGAGCGAGAAACATGCACAGTAGAGCAATGATCGTTTCCCATATATTGGGTTGATTTCCAAGATATGATAAGTGATGAAAAGTTAGTCAAGAGTTAAGAGGAGAAGATAAATAAGGCCAAAGGTAGCAATAGGTTCAATGTCTCACGAATTGGTGCATTCAGTCGTCCAGAAGCAAGTGATGCGATCAAAGTCGTTGGCCGCAATACTACAGCATTATCTGCGCAAGTAGCATCAAATGTAATTTCTTGTAGCATTCGTGGAAATTTCGTTAGTGAACATGACATCTCATTGTTACCAAGACTGTATAAAGTCAAAAGCAGCCACGCGCTGCCGCGTTGAATGGACCGCAGCCCGAGATTACAAGGATGGTCAACCTCAAAAGCGCGAGGAGTGTTTGATAACAAGGTGGAAGAAAGGAGCGAAATATAAGCTGCAGTGGCCTTGAGCGATGAGGAACTCCTTTCCTTCATGAGGCAATATTACAGCCAACGTGTGTCGCTTGAACAGCCATGTACTGACTCCATTAATAGCACCGAATGTCCCATTCGATAGGCCGTACGTCTGTCTATACGTAGTACGGATGCTGATGAATGTGCCGTGCAGTCAACGTTGCAGGTGCTGAGGATAGCACGCGATTAGTCGGCATAATGAAAAGCCCCTGTAAGAATGTACAACCGTTTTCCTTTCTGCGGGGCTCGTGGAACTCTCGTGTAGTATACGGCTTTGCGATAGCGTACGATGCCCCAGAATCAACTGTGTCGAGCTTGGAGCATTTGACCTACGAGTCTTCTACACAATAGATCATGGGCATCTACAAGTCAGCGACTCCTAACCATCTACACTTGCGTCCAAGCCCTTTTGTGTACATGTATGTCATCTCGACCACAGCTGCCCTACACTGTTTGCCAAACGAGCTCGTGAGTCGATTTCCGTGGAAATGAATTTGGGTACTTCATTGATAGAAGTATGTGCCCGAAACTGCACAATAGGCCTATGATGTACAAATAACATATGTGCGAGCCAGAATTACGAACGCTGCTCAGTGGCAGAAAGGAAGGACACCAAGGGAAATCCTGGGCAAACGCGCTGAGAGAGACCGAGCGTCGCAGCTACCAATCCTGGACGCACACCTTCGAGGGAGGTAAAATGTACTGAATATGAGCTTGTCGAGCTGGCAGAACTTGACGCCTCAATAGAAGGCATCGGGATTGTTGTCGTGGCCGGACAGCCCGTAGTTGCCACCAACATCATCCAGGCTTCTGTATTGTGACTGCCCACCACCACCGCGGCCACGACCCCTGCCACCTCGATCGCCGCGATGAGCGCCTCGATTGCCTCGGTTGTTGTACTGGTTATTCCTGTGTCCTCCACGGCCGCGGTTCTGGTTGCCGCCTCGATACCCTGAAGAGCGGTTATCATCTTTGCAACGTGCGTTATGTGACCGGTGGTCACCATGTTGATTTGGCTCTGCAGAGCGCTTACGGTACGATTTGTTTGGAAAGTAGCTCTCCCACTCGCTCTCGTTGGCAGTCTCTTCCTCGATGCGCAGCATTTGCTTCTCGCCCACGACACTGTCGAATTCGAAAGCCTGGTCTTCTGCCACCGGTTGCCAGTTTGTTATCCGCGCTGCATCTGCGGGTCGTCCGTTCTTGCGAATGGCTAGTACAACAGTGGGCGTAGGGTTCTCAGAGTAGTACTTCGCCGTCTTGGGCACCGGCTCAACTCGCGCAGCCCACAGCTTGTTCTCGAAGCAGGACGTGCCTACGACCTTCCACCTGACCTTGGCTCCAATACCGCCGACCTTGTCGAGGATACTCTTTGGACATGGCTTCGGTGTGATGAGGATGCTGTTGGCGAGGAACCTGACGTCGTTGTCCGGGGTGCTTTGAGGAAGCTTCACCAGCGATGTGAGCTTCTCGGTCATATTCGCAGGAATCATGTACCCTGTGTAGAAGACTGTCTTCTTGATCTGATATGGAATAGTACTTGGTGGTGCAGAACCATTCTTGACTTGCATGTTGTGCGCATTCATCAGCTTCTGGATTTCCGCGATTTCAGCTACAGGGTCCAGCTGAGTCGCGTTCTCGGCCACCTGAATGACCTCTGCCGCGATTGGCTTCCGATGACCTTTCAGCTGTCCAGCCAGGAGGTCTTTGTTGAATTGGAAGAAGAAGTCGCGGAAGCCTTTCGTGTGCTTGACACGGTCTTCGTAGATGCGCAATTCTTGTGCGTCCTTGTATGTGTAGACAATGTCCTTAAGCAGCTCCTGCTTGAACTCCATTGTGTTTCTGAACTTTTGCCCTGCAGGACCAATTGCAGGCTTCAGACATACCATGTCGAAATCGAGCTTTCTGCTCTTTACAATGCGCTTGATGAGATCGCCGAAGTTGGATTCGCCGCGGCCGGTGAGGAGAACGTTGAGGGCATCTTTCTGTTGCATCGACTGCTCGACCAGGGTGACGATGTGTTCGTTCCACCACCCAGCCCAGCCGCGCTTCTCCTCCTTGTCTGCGCCTTCACCAGTCGCGCCCAGGATGCTAGCGTCATGCCACCAGCCTCCGCTCAAGAACATGTCTGGGCTGCCCAGCTGACCGATCGTGGCGCTGTTCCATAGCTGTTTGTTCGGTAGAGGGCTCGCGAACACTGTAGTCGTCAGCCATCGCGGAAGCGCAAGGTAGCATGAAGCGCACATGTGTTGTCGAAGTCATATACGTGTATGGCCTTGATGTCGCTGATTGCTGGCAGGTCCTTGTCGTCACATGACCATCTCTTGAGTGCAGTCACTGTTTGGTACGTTGGCTTTCCATTTGGACCTGCGACGGCAGGCCTAGTCGATGTTGCTAACATGAAGTATGCCGAGCGGCGGACGGGCGAGATCGAGATTTGTTTCGTGGTCGCGAGCAGCATTCGCTGCGGAAGTCTTTAGATAATGTAGTCAAGCGCAATGTGTTCGAGCGACCGTGATCGTAAACGCTGGTCGGTCGTGAGGGACAGGAGCGGCCGTTCGTCAGTACGAAGTAAGTCGTGACTGCACCTTTCGCGCTACCGGTACCGTGTCCGTGCACCCAATGCACGGAATCAACCAATGCACGGGGATCGCGATCAACACCCCATTTTCAACGCGTAACAACTCAATCACTATGGCACCTATTGATGATGCGCTTGCAGCAATTGAAGCGCTGGAACCAGGCTGGAACCAGGAGAAAAACTTGTGCATCAGAAAATAGCTATTTAATATGGCGTTGATTGCTCAACGTTGTCACGCGCGCATTAACTCAGTCAGGTCCCCCGACGCGTCGCCAACGAGAACCAACGGAAACTCAGCAACCAACAGGAATCAGATCCAGTCAAGTATATAGAGGAGCTGTCAGCGCGTCACTTACCACCTACAAGGCGTATGGTACAGAATTTCGCATCCTCTGTTGCCTCACAGCCCTGCTCTGATAGCTCGGTTAAGCGCTTCCTACACCGTCATCGCGATCAGCTCACGTCTCAATGGGCCACCGGCATGGACTCCAATCGTCACAACGATAAGTCACAATACAAGTACGAGTTATATTTCTAGCTTCTGGAGCAGAAGATCACTTAATACAACATTAAGCTAGAGAACATGTAACGTAGGTGTAGGGCGAGTTGCCCACCAGGGCGAGTCGCCCACTTTTGCCAAGACCCTCCCCCATCAAACCCTACTATAACGTACTCTATCACCGAGCCAGTCATATCACCAAACCAGTTAAAATCTGCCAAGACTAACACAACTCCGCACTTTATAGTATGTCTTAACAACATCACAACCTATTACTTTAACACAAAGGGAGACTGCAGCTTGCTCTCCAGGCCTACAATACCATAGTTTCAGAGCCATTGGGCTGCTGCTGCTGCATTCAACGTTAACCAACGCAGGCTCTCTGAACGCGCTAGCAATACTCCATTTCAACTCAACGTACGCGCAAACTGCTAGAAGCTTACTGCAACTAAAGAGCAGACAATTGTCTAATATATCCTTAACCTTAATTTGCCAGGATTTGCGCCTTAGCTGTGTAAGGTGGCAGATATAGCTAATAAACTATTAGGTGTGCGTGGTAGGGAGCCTGTTAGTAAACTCTAGGCTATAAGATTTGTAACACGTTTAGATTAGCTTAAGATAACGTGTTTTTACAAGCGAGCGCCGCGTACAAGCGAGCGCCGCACCCCACCAAACTTGCGCACCTCTCTCATCTCAACGTACAATGGCCCAACGCAGCGCTGCTCTATCAGCTTCAAATGAAGCAGACGTTCAGCTTGCTATCTTATCTATTAATTCTCACCAGATACAGAGCAATCGCAGTGCTGCTGTTATCTATAGCGTACCTGAACGAACGATCCGCCGCCGACGCGCTGGCAAGCCTGCCCGACGCGATTGCCAGCCCAACTCAAAGAAGCTTACTCTGCGTGAAGAGGAGGTGATTATCAGCTATATACTCAATCTGGATCAACGTGGTTTTGCGCCTACGTACGCAGCTGTACGTGATATGGCTGATAAGCTGCTGGCTGCGCGCGGTGCAGGTCAGGTTGGCGTCCACTGGCCACGCAACTTTGTCAAGCGTACAGACAGTCTCACGACGCGTTTCAATCGAGCGTACGACAGACAGAGAGCCCTGTGTGAGGATCCAGCTCTAATCAGAAGCTGGTTTGAGCTTATAGAGGAGACAAAGGCCAAGTACAGTATCTGCGATGATGACGTCTACAACTTTGATGAGGCTGGCTTTATGATGGGCAAGATCACGACTCAGCTCGTCGTGACAGGGTCAGAGAGGAGAGGCAGGCCAAAGGCTATCCAGCCAGGCAATCGTGAGTGGGTGACGTTGATTGCTGCAATCAACGCAGCTGGCTGGTCAGTCCCACCGTTCCTCATCTTTGCTGGCAAGTACCACCTCTCTGCCTGGTACGAGGAGGATATCCCACGCGACTGGGTGATTGCAGTTAGTGACAACGGCTAGACGAACAATGAGCTAGGAGTTAAGTGGCTGAAGCACTTCAACGCTCACACAAAGGCTCGTGTAGTAGGAGCACATCGCCTGCTTATTCTTGATGGCCACAAGAGCCACCACTCTCTTAACTTCTAAGAGCTCTGCAAGGAGAACAATATCTATACGCTCTGTATGCCGCCTCACTCATCCCACCTACTACAGCCTCTTGACGTTGGCTGCTTCTCGCCGTTGAAGCGCGCGTATAGCCATGAGGTTGAGAGTCTGATCCGCCACCATATCAACCATATCACCAAGCTTGAGTTTCTGCCAGCGTTCAAGGCAGCGTTCAATCAATCATTCACCTCAGCCAATATCTGCTCAGCCTTTCGAGGCGCCGGCCTTGTGCCTCTCCAGCCAGATGCCGTGCTATCAAAACTTGACGTGCAGCTGCTGCGTACACCTACTCCAGCTGCTCTGCCAGAGGCTCTCTGGGAGGCTCGTACACCGAGCAATATACGTGAGCTTGATACTCAATCAACGTTAATACGTGATCGCGTGCGGCGGCATAAGAGCTCCTCGCCTGCCTCAATTATTGAGGCGATTGACCAACTCAAGAAGGGCGCTGAGGTAATGATGCTCTCAGCTGAGCTAATGCGCGATCGGATTACCAGCCTTGAGAAGGCTAATGAGGCAGCGTCAGCGCGTAAACAGCGTAAGAAAAAGCGTATACAGCAGCGTGGGGTCTTAATAAAGGGAGCTGGAGAGGATCTACTCGCTCAACATGAGGCTGATCAGCAGATTGCTCGTGAAGAGCGTCAAGGAGGAGAGCAATTAAGCCTCAGCCGCCAGGCTCTGGCACGCTGCAAGAGGTTCAGAGAGACTGGCCATAACTCACGTACGTGTAAAAAGGATACCTAGAGTACTACTTAGTCTACTCCATAATTACCTATATATTATATTATCACGTTGTTGAGTTGCAGGGCTTTGAGGTGCGCAAGTTTGGTAGGGTGCGGCGCTCGCTTGTACGCGGCGCTCGCTTGTAAAACACGTTAGCATTTAACTAAGCAAAGGATAGACAAAGAATACTGCAGGAAGATCCTAAGGTAATCAACGCGTAGTTTATGCTAGTAGAGGGTACTAAGGCTAAGTATAGCATCTATAACAATAACATGTAACGTACCTCACGGGCGAGTGGCCGGCCCGGGCGAGTGACCGGATTTTGCCAAGACCACACCAAACTTCAACTTCTCTTGCATATTACAGCAAGTTACTGCAAGTTACTGTAACTTACAGTATACAGCACTAATCTACAGTATCTTGCGCATCTTTTATGCACGTTCGCGCATTGTGCCCTGCCTTACTACACCTGCTACAGCGTTGTAAAGACTGAGTGCCTGGTTTAACGCGCCTCTTCTTGCTTGCCTTCTTCCCATCATTACAGGCTTCAAACTCCTTTAGGGTAGTTAAGCGTACTCCTTTACTAACAGTAAGAGTCCCCTCCCTCTAGATCTGCTTCCTCTTGTGTGATTTACAGCGTGTGGCGGCCTCATTAGTAGCTTGAAGCTCTGCGACCTGGTTGCGCACTAAAACTAGTGAATGCGCCATTATCTCTGCGCCCTTAGTGAGCTGATTAAGAGCATTAACTATTAAAGTTAGAGAGCTATTGCTATGTTATTAAATCCTCTCTTTAATAAGCTTTAATTGCGACCTAAATTCTAGGGTGTTCTGTGGGGTTTGAGAGTGCCACGTACTCTTATCTATAGTAGGTAGTGGTGGAGTACACAGGCGCACTTTAAGCTTTAATATTACAGCCTCTAGATTAAAGGGGACCAAGCCAGCACCTCTAAATCCTCCCTAGATATTGCTCCTAGTAATAGAGGCATCAAAAGCTCCTTTAAAGCACGGTAAAAACTCAAGTTTTGTGATGTAAGTAATCTTGTTGCGCATTAGCAGCTTAGCTTGGCAACCATAGGCCTTCTTTATTAGGGCAAAACAACCTACGTCAAGCGGCTGCAACAGGTGCGATGAGTGTGGAGGCATACACAAGGTAACAATCTTGTGTTCTTCACAGTACTAGTAGAACTTAACTAAATTGTGGCTCTCATGGCCGTCTAGAATAAGCAGCTAATGGCTGCCAACAGTGCGCTCCTTTGTGTGCTTATTAAAGTGCTTCAGCCACTTAATACTAAGCTTGTTATTAGTCTAGCTATTCTTAGAGATAGTAATAACCTAGTTGTGAGGTAAAGACAGCTCCTTATACTAGGCAGAGAGGTAGTGCTTACCTTAGAAGGTAATAAAGGGTAGGATACTCTATCCTAACACGTTGATACCCTAGATAATGCTAGTCTACTCTTAGTCGCCCTGCTGTACTGTCTTTAGTCTTCTATAACGCTCTGAGCCTGTAACAACAGCTCCTGTTAATATAACACCTATTATAAACCTAGACTTGTTAAAATTATAGGTGTCTTTATCTAGGATACTATACTTGGCTTTAGTATTCTCTACCAGGCGGAACTAGCCCTAGATCACCTCAGGATCCTCGCAGAGGGCTCTCTTGTAGTCGTACTTTTGATTAAACTTGACTGTGAGCTCTGGGCGACGCTTGACGAACGTGCTAGCCTAGTTCTTGCTAACAGGAGGCTGGTAGCGCTTAGTGAGTAGAGAGTTGGCCATATCCTCTACATTAGTAAGCTGGGGTAGGTATCCTTGCTCGTCTAGCTTCAGAACATGCTGCACAATCATCTCCTCTTTAGTGCTTGTTAGCTTTATTAAGTTAACCTTACAATCACGTCTTAAGAGCATTCTAGCACGTTGTTGTCTTAGTGTTCTTTCTAACACCTTGTAGATTGTTGCAGCACGTGGAATAGTAAGAGTTGTGTCTTGTTTAAGAGCCTAGAT